ACTGGCCAGGGCACAGAACACAAGTAGAGATCAACAATTACAGACAGAGGGACCCCACAGATGGACTCCGTGCAGATGAAGAGCTGAGTAGGACAAGGGGATTACAGGAGGTCTCTGCTGAGACTAGGGCTGGACTGTGAGAAAGGAGGAAGTAAAAGTCAGCTTGGAACAAGGAACCAGTGATAAGGAGTCAGAGGAGATACAGAAGAGCGTCCATAAGAAGCATGTCTGTTGTTGAAATCTTCTTGAAACAGGATTTCAAGCTAGAGGGTATTCCAGAAATCTCTTGTTTTTGTCCATGTGGTCATCTGTGAGCTAAAGGGAGGTGTGCAGCCAGGTGAGTTAGGAATGATTTTAGATTGAGGGTTGATACTGAAGGCTTATCAAATCAAGAAACTGCAGGAGTCCAGACTGACGGACAGGGGCCACTAAAACTAGAGGAAGCCTCACTGTTCAGGTGAGGAAAAGTGACGCAGTCAGCAGAAGTGAGAAGACCGACAGCATAGAAAGGGTCAGGAGGTGAGAGAAACCGTGCGGTGGTTTCAGTGAAGGTGAAGAGGGACAAGGGAGAGGCAGAGCGATGGCGTTTGCCGAGGCCAACACCTGAGATTTCTGAGGTGGAACCATGGCTGGTGATGGGAACTAAGTACGGCAGCTGCACAGTGAAGGACGATGCTGCGAATGTCGAGAGGATGAGTTATTAGTGTATACTTCATGCATTCTCAGTAGGAGAATTGTTACTGAGAACAATGGTGAGGAAGGAAGCAAAATGCGACTCAGATATGCTAACGGACTAAGAGCATGAGCCCAGGAACAGATCCAAGTTGGACCTGCAGCTACATCACGTAACAGCTCTTTCTCTTTGGACAAGTTTTCAACCCCTGCTGAACCACAGTCTCCTTCACTATAGAGCATGGAAATGAAGAGTAGGAACCTCTTGAAGTGTTGTGAGTAATAAATGAAGTAATGCATGCAAAGTGCTTAGTGTAGCCCTGGTGCAGATTAATCCCTCAGTATTCCCTAGGAAATACCCTTAGGGGCACACAAATCAAGTGTGGGAAGCTCTCCAGGGCGGCAGACATTATCCAGAAAGACAGCATGAAGAGCCACGTGGGGAACTCCAGGAGATAAGGATGAGAGAAAGCCAGCAGTCCTATAGACAGATCTTTGAAACGTCCAAGAGAGGCCAATTTCTGGTAAGACAATAGGGCAAAGGAAGATGATAAAGGCCCTTAGGATAAATGGAATTTCCCACACCGTCACGATAGAAAGGAGTAGGGAGAAGAGTGGAGATTCAGTGGAGTAGAGACATGCAAAGAGACAGGAATGAAAATTTTCCCTGTTGGGGGCCTGGGAAGGATTAGAAACTTCCATCTCCCTTCCCCATCAAACCCATGGAACATCTCCACTTAACGGAAGGAGGAGACGCATCTGCTTCTGGAACATGTGGGGCCTGATTTTTCTGTGTTATTATCCCCAAAGCCAAGAACATAAAGTCAGAGAGGAAGATCACGTAAGGCAGCCCATATGTGATCACTAAGGCCAAATAAGCTCTCACAAAGAAGCCTGATCCTTGTAACCAGAAAGCTCTCCCATTTAATGCAGAGCAGTTTATGTGGCTTCACTTTTCTATCTTTATTTTTCCATCACCACATTCAGGCCACTCAGGCATGTTTAAATGGTCGTGGCTGAACATTAATGAGATATTTGTTTTTGATCTGCCAATGGTACAGATTACATTTCCCACACAAAAATATCCGTTGTTGTATTATGTAGGTAATAAATAGTCTGTTGAAAGTCAGGATGAAGTAAGACAGTTTTCAACAGAATTCATACAAATATGAAGCACCCATATGTACCATCCCCAATATTAACATATTAACTTTTACCAACTTTAGCTACAAATTCATCTATTTGTATTTAATTTAAGGGATCTTTTACCACCTTTTTATCTAGTGCTTCACAGTAAACTAATTTAGATTTTACTGGACTACAGAACTTTTATTTTCTATTCATCCACTGCCATCCAAAACAAAAGTTGCCACATGTTTTACGCTGCATCACAACAGTATTTGTGAGATTATGCCTGGAAGATTGGAGGGAAAGTCTACCTTTAGGCCATATCATTTGCATATGAGGTCCTAATGCCATTTAAATAAGTGAAAAATCACAGCCTTCCAACACATAACCAGCTATTAAAACATTGCCATAAGCAAAATAATGAATCTTAAATGGAATTTTCACAAGATGGAAGGGTATGGAAGGACAGGTTACTAAATACTATTGCTCTAATCTTTTCCATAATCCATTATATTCATGGATATCTCCATATTTGCCTTTGTAAGTTTCAGAAAAATTACTTCTAGTTTTATAGAAAATGGAGCATAAAAGTGAGCAGCTTTTAAAAAATGAGTTACATGGAAGAAAGAACAGCAACTAAGATTTTTGTGATTAATTTGATAGACTTCCAGTAGGAAGTATTTAGTTTATCTGCACATAGAAAATGAATATTAAAATATTCATACCCCAAGGCTACCAGCAAAAGTAGATAACAGCTGTTGGTCTAAAATGTGGTTTCATTATGCAAAGAGTGGAATAAGCTTGTAATTATGAATTAAAGCTAGAGCAGTTAAAAAAATGTTGAGTAGCATTTTTAACCCCAACATCTAAAATCAGTTTTCTGTTAAGAAACAAAGTGTTCAGACCATTTTCCTCAATAAGCTTTCAAGTGGTATCAGCAACAGCAGACTTGCCTTTTCTCACCTCAAAGAGAAATATGTAATAGATCTACCACATAAGCTTCTTAATGATATTTTTCCTAAACTAAGTTCAAATATATCATAGTGAGTCCATATTTCAAAAAAACCCCACTTTAATATTTATTTTAGACCTAATGATATAGATAATATAGCAAAATGGATTTTTAAAAATTATATTGGTTATTAATGCAGAAGGAGGTTTTTTTTTTGTTACATATACAAGGGAGCTTCAGAAGGTTCATGGGAAAATGTAGTTAAAAGATGATGCCTATTTTCTGGGCTTTTTGAAGCCTCTTTGTATTATTTTTCCTGGGACATGATACTGGTACAGCATAAATAATAACATTTTCCAATGAAGTTACAGTATCAGCAAAATAAAGTATTAGAAATAAAAGAATTTCTTACTTCAAAATCACTGAAATCAGGAATACATTTTAAATACATTCTAATGGTAAAAAAATAAGATCATCTCTTTCCTTATTGTTCAGTTGATAATCTACTGAGGACTGTGACTTCAGTTTGAATAAATTTAAGTCACAAACTAACTTTCTTTCTCTCTCTTTATCTCTCTCACCCCAGGTAAGCCAATTATATAGGACAAAGTAAAGCACAAAATATATTATCTCTCCCTCACTGTTCCTCCATTACAAGCTGTTAAATACTGGATGGACGGCTATTGAAAAAAGAAAAGGTAAACTAGGACTGACCCATATGAACAATGACTAAGGTAAGCTTTCCTTGCTATTGCACTAACCGTCTTCCTCCCTCACTCTAATGTGTGCCTGGAAAACAGAAGGAAGAGTAAACACACAAACGCTGTCCTCTAGCCTCTAACTTCCTGGAGCAGATGAAGATGATGGGAAAGACTACAGAGGGGATGGGGAAGGGTTGGCCAGTGATTGACTGCATCCCATACTGGCATGCCTGAGTCCTATACCTGCCCGGAATCCCACTTCCTGCTAATACAAACCCTGGAAGCAGTGGGGAGGGCTCCTGTGATGTAGGAGATCTGGACTGAGTTCCTGGTTCCTGGCTTCAGCCTCAGCCCATATCTAGTCATTGCCAGTATTTGGGGAGTAAACAAAGCAGATGGGAAAATGGGAACTTTAATAAAATAATAAATGCTATCAAAATAATCATTTAAAAAAAAAAAAAAAAGAAAAAAGAAACAGACAGCACACAAAATCTCAACAATTGGTTCTGTCGCTCTAACCAGTACCATGAGGTCTGAGTTGCACAGGTAAATGAAAGGGATAATAGAAACAATTATGTGGGTAGATATATTTTGTAAGTATTTTAAAATAATCTTAAAGTATAGCTTAATTGGAAGAGGAGTGAAAAAGAAGGCTATCTTTATTATTCAGTAGCTCCTCCCTTATCCACAGGTCACTTTTAACAGTTTCAGTTAAAAATATTACATGAAAAAAATTCCAAAAATAAACAGTCCATACTTTTTTTTTTTTTTTTTTTTGAACGTCTGAATTATAGAGAGGGAGAGACACACAGAGAGAAATCTTCCATCCATTGTTTCACTCCTTAGATGGCTGCATGGCCACAGGTGGGCCAGGCCAAAGCCAGAATGTGGGTGCAGGGACCCAAGCACCTGGGTCATCCTCTGCTGCTTTCCCAAGCATATTAGCAGGCAGCTGGATCAGAAATGGAGCAGCCGGGACTTGAACCGGCACCTATATGGGATGCCGGCACTACAGGCAGTGCTTTTACCCACTGCACCACAGTGCTAGCCCCAGTCCATAAGTTTTACATTGTGCACTGTTCTAAGTAGTGTGATGAAATCTCGCACTATCTCTCCCCCTATTGAGACCTGAATCATCATCTCTTTGTCCACACTGTATGTGACATTGACCAGATAGTCACTTGGTAGCTGCTTTGGTTTCAGATTGACTGTGGAGGTATGGCAGTGCTTGTGTTCAAGTCACCTTCCAGACAGAGACCACCTTCACATAACTTTTTACAATATAGCATTATAACTGTTTTATTTGATTATTAATCATTAGCCTCTTCCTGTGCCCAATTTTATAAATAAAATGTTATCATGATTTGTGCAGTAAACAAACTTCATCATAGTAGGTATTGGAAAAAAGAGTATAAATGAGGTTTGGGATGACCCATATGGTTTTATGCATTCACCCTGGTTCTTGGAATATCTCTCCCTCCTAAAAGGGAGAATGACTGGAAATCCTATCTGACACCTTTGTAAGTTGTGTGCTACAGGGCACTTACCCTGTTCCTGGAAAGGAATGGTGGGAACAGTGTCAGAAAAGACAAACCACACATCTCCCATTCCCCATGCAGATCCAGTAATATGAGAATATTCAGCAATTTGGTGTAGACAAACAGTCCTTTAAATCCCTTCCTGGAACAAATGGCATATGTGAAAATAAATTGACCTTGACTATTTCAAAGTAACCCATTATTTTTTTATCAGCATATCAACAGACAAAAATTATTTCCTCATCATAAAGACAACTTCCACGTTATCCTTAACGGGAAGCAAGAAAACCTTTGAAAAGTATAATCAACGTAAAAATCTGCTTTCATGCTTATCCTAACAAAGAATTTATAATGCAAATGTTAGAAGCTAAAGTTTTCTTAGACACAAAAGACAATGAGGGTATATCCCTTTCCCCAGAAGTAAATAAAAGTAAAATAATTAACATTGGTGCACAAGTTAGCATTTTCACTGTTTAAACTAGATAATTACATTGATGTATTTATTAGAAGTTTATAGGTAGAATTTTTTTACAGATTTATTTTATTTATTTGAAAGGCAGAATTATAGGTAGAGAGAGAGGGAGAGATAGAGAGACAAAGAAACCTTTCATCCACTGGTTCCCTCCCCAAATCACTATAATGGCCAGGGCTGGAACTCCATCGGGGTCTCCCATGGGCATGCAGGGGCCCGAGCATCTGGGCCATACTCTGCCGCTTTCCCAGGTGGTTTAGCAGGGAATCGCTCACAGCACAGAAACCAGGACTCAAGCTGGTACTCCACTATGGGCTCCATACGCCAGCAAGACAAGCAGCAGCTTAACCCTCTGTGCCACACCACCACACCCTATGGGTAGTATTAAGTAGCAGCATGATTTTTTTGTAGTTATAGTGTGGCACATCTGTTCCTAAGATAAAATGCCAATATTGACATAGGAGAGAACATGCGAGAAATATAGGAAATTTTTAAGTAGATTTTTTCATAATTATGTGTTTATGCCAATACGTATTTATATACCAAGAATTGAATACCATATGTGGAACTTTTCATGTAAAATAACAATTATAAAACCTTGATAAATAACAACAACGACCTTTAGAGTATCTAAATAGTTCAATATATTTGAAAATACCCTCCAACTAGTAATTAATGTCTACTTAAAACTGGGGAGGTAAGCATTTGGCCTAGTAGTTAAGACACCTGCATCCCAAATCAAAACTTGGGTTTAAGGCCTGGCTTCCAATCCTGACCCCAGCGTCTTGTTCATGTGGGTCCCAGAGGCGGCAGTGATGACTCAAATAGTTGGAATTATTGTTCCCATGTGGGGGCCTAGATTGAGTTCTCAGCTCCGGCGTGGTTCTCTTTGTCTCTCCACCTCTCAAATAAATAAATCAATAGATATATATTTTTAAAAGTAGGTAGGTAAGCACCATCATCATCCTCTGATGAATAGTCAGTGTGGTCAAGATTCTTACCCAAGCACCTATTAGGATTGGAGTCATCTATCCTTAATGGCATAATAAAACTCCAGAAAAGAGAGAGAGAGAGCAAGAGCGAGCGAGCAAGAGAGAACAAGCCATACATCATATCCAAGTTGTGCTAAAATGTGTTAGAGAGCTGGTTTGAGAAGCTCTCGTTGCTGTTTACCGGCTTGCCTTCTCACCCATTCGCAGTAACTGAACACCCTTCTCCGAGATGGCACTCTAGCGCACAGACATCCTTGCTCTTTTAATTGAGCCCCTTTGGGGGAAAGTACCGTTTAAATATAACAATATATTCAGAACCCTAAAATAATTTGATCTATAATAAATTCTTAAGCAAGGGAGGAAGACCAGCCTGGGGACCCCGGGAGGGGAAGATTGCCAGGTACGAAGTCAGAGATTCACAAGGAAGTTGCAGACGCTCCTTCCCTGGAGACTTTTAAAAATAGACGAGACAGCCCTCTCCATACAGTGGTGCAGCAGGCCCCATTATACTTTGCTATTAGAACTTCGCTATAGGTTTTTTAGGCTTGATTAAAAAGAAGAAGAAGAAGAAAGGAAGAAGAAGAAAGGAAGGGGGGAGGGGAAAAGAAAGCCACCAATGTCAGGGAAATCCAGTTTAAGGAATATCTGCTAGTGAACTAAATCTGTTCCTTTTAGCACAAATTTTCTGATTTTTACCCTTGATTTTAAAGATAAAGTCTTAAAGGGATTTAGATTCTGATATGTTTAACTCTACTGCTTTGCACTTTTTAACAGAAATTATATTTATTGATTTTCATTTTATTTGAAAGAAACAGAGACAGAGATCTTCCAAGTGCTGTCCACTGCCCAAATGCCCACAAAGCCAGGCCTGGCCCAGGCAGCATCAACTTCCTTCTGGTTTCCTCTGTGAGTAGCGGGGACTCACCAACTTGAGCCATCACCTGCTGCCTCCTGGAGTCCACAGTGGCAGGAACCTGGAGTCAGGAGTGGAGTCAGGACTTAAACCCAGACACTTCAATTTGGGATGCAGCAGTCCCAAGGGTGTCTTACCTCTGCACCAAATGCCTCCCTGCTTCACTTTTCATTCTGCGTTTTATAGGACTGACTATTCACTCACTGGAAAAAATGTGTCACTTTATAACTTCAGTATATAAAGATGAAGCAGAGATTGAAATTTGTGTGGATATTTGCTTTTTTTCCATCTTTGAAAATCATAATTCTCAGTAAAATTGAATACAAATATATTAACACATTCTTACATGTATGTGACTAAATAACAGCTTTTCAGATAAAAATGAAGATTTCATATATATATATAATCTGTTAATTAAGGAGATACGGTATACAGTCACACAAATTGCATGCAAATTTTTTCTTCAATCATGATTCAAATTTAAGATATATCCTCTTATTAAAAAAGAAAGAAAAATAAAATTATTCTGAGTATAAACAAAATGCTTCACTTAAATGACATCCCAGAGACAAACCAGTTTTTTATTACTCAAACTCCAAATTTTGAGCAAAAAATACCTTAAGGAATTAGAAGTGTGTGGCTGAGGCCTTTTGGAGACTATAACACTTCTACTACAGTCACTGCCTATTTAAATACATCATTTCTTTCTTAATTTAGTTACTTATTAGTAGCATTTAAATAAACTTCCCTTGAACGTAAGCCAGATGCTTCGGACAGATAATGTGAAGCAACTGAAAAACTCATTTGACTATATCACAACAACTTCTAGAAAGTTCTACAATTTCTATAAAGACTTTTATAATGATATTGTTTTCATGAGCTTTACATACAGTGTTTTTCATTTCAACACAGAAGTGGCAATACAATCTTTTAAAAAATATTCCCATGGCTAGCACTGTAGCGTTGTGACCTGGCATCCCATACAGCTAATGTCCAGGCTGCTCCACACCCAATCCAGCTCCCTTATCATGGCCTGAGAAAGCAATGGAAGATGGCCCAAGTCCTTGGGCCCCTGCATGCATGTGGAAGACCTAGAAGAATCTCCTGGCACCTGGCTTTGGCCTGGCTTAGCACTGGTTATTGGGGTTACCTGGAGAGTGAACCAGCAGATGGAAGATTCTCTCTCTCTCTCTCTCTGTAATTCTTTCAAAATAAATAGATAAATCTTTAAAAGAAATTCCCAAATACTCAGTTACAGGTCTTAATATAAATTAAAATTCAATAACAGACGACCAATGTCAGAAAGTGTAACTAATATGTCCATCAGCTCTATAGGTGCCAACCACACCAGGTGAAATGTGCATGAGTACACACACACACACACACACACAAATGATAAGTACAGCAATATTCTACTGAGCAGCTGGTAATATTTGTTGACCCTAATTGTGACATTACTTGCATGTTAATAAACGTTGCTCAAGGTCACAGAACATTCTATATATTACAGAAGCTTCAGTACAATGCTGAGCTTTTTAAAACATCACACACATTTGCCCCCCTGTATTAGCTTTGTGTTGTTAATGTAAGAGATTACCATAAACTTGTTGTCTTAAAATCTAGAGGTGGGAAGCTGGAAGTCTGGCAGGGATTGCACTGAGCAAAAACTCCAGGTGAGGCTGGTGTTCTGTGCTGGAGGGCCAGGAAAGACTGCCTTCCCCGCTGTCCAGACTGCCACATCGCTCAGCTCCGGCCCTCCTTCCTCCGTCTTCAAAGCTGGCAGTGGGAGGATGAGGCCTTCTCAGATCACTGCACTGATCTGTCTACCTTCACCTCTCACGGATAAAAATCCTGTGATTAAATCAGGTCTACTTGAATCATACTGTTTCTTTATTTAGGGTCAGTTGAGGAGGAACATTAATTCCACATGAAATCTTTATTCCTCTTTACTTAATGTGATGTAACATATTCACAGATCCCAGGGATTAGGGTGTGGACTTCTTGGAGTGAGGGGGTCATTCTTCACAGCACCACCCCCAAATCTTAACTACAGCTTTCTCATAAATTCCCATGTTCCTGGGGTTGGTACTTAGCCCAGCTGTCAAAGCTCCTGATAAGATGCCCAAGTCCCGTATCAGAGTGACTGCGTTAACGCTCAGTTCCACTCTCAATTCCAGCTTCCAGCTAAGGCAGACCCTAGGAAGCAGCAGTGACAGCTCAAGGAGTTGAATTCTTGCATCCACATGGAAGATCTGGATTGAGTTCCCAGGTCCAGCTTTGGCCTATGCCCACAGCTGTTGGGGGGCTTTGGGGGAATGAACCAGCAGATGGGAGTATTCTCACTCTCTCTCTCTCTCTCTCCCCTCCCTATTTCTCTGCCTCTCTAACAAATAAAGCTTTTTTAAAAAAATTCTTCTATTCTTGGGTGCTGACACTGTGGCTCAACAGGTTAACACCATGGCCTAAAGTGCCAGCATCCCATATGGGCGCCGGTTCTAGTCCCAGCTGCTCCTCTTCCGATCCAGCTCTCTGCTATGGCCTGGGAAAGCAGTAGAAGATGTCCCAAGTACTTGGGCCCCTGCACCCAAGTGGGAGGCCTGGAAGAAGCTCCTGGCTCCTGGCTTCGGATCAGCGCAGTTCCAGCCATTGCAGCCAATTGGGGAGTGAACCATTGGATGGAAGACTTCTCTCTCTCTGCCTCTCCTCTCTCTGTGTAACTCTGACTTTCAAATAAATAAATAAATCTTTTAAAAATTCTCCT